CGTGGCGTAGACACCTGCATGTGAGTGGTGCCCTGCGAAGATACCCGCAATGTTGCCAGGAGAGCGCTCGGCAACATGTCCGTAGTTCCTCATCCTGGTCAGCAGCCTGTCATAGTCTGCTTGTGTTCGGGGCATCTGATGATTAAAGGGCTCCAGCAGGCGTTGGGCTCGTGACGCGCCAACGCCTAACGCTCTGAAGAGAATCAGCGTTAGGATCTGAAAGTTGGGGATGACAAATCCAACAGAGTTAGCCTCGTCACGGGCCATCTCGAATCGAGCTAACACTGAGTCGATTCGCTCGCCCCTTTCGACGCGAAAGTCGATAAGGGCAGTGCCAGAGTTGAGCTGGCGCTCATCTTCCAGATTTTCAAATTTGGTGCTCAGTAAGTACAGTATATATGTTACTGCATCCGTTGGCTGTCCATTGACAGTTACACCATAATTGATGATCTGGGAGGGGACCTGCATGGCGATACGACGAGCAAGACCTTGAAGGCCTCGTTGTAGTGCTGCAGCTTGTTGTGGTGGTGTCATATTGCCGCTCGTTACGTTTAACCATGCATGTACTTCGCGAACATATTCGCGAAAAGGCGTAGTACCGGCAGGGTCCCACGAAGGGCCGGCAGTACGCGTGTCGTCCATCCCCTGCCGCATGTATCCCACAGCACATCCCATTATTACCCACAGAATGCCGAAGATAGTTATCTTAATCCAGTGCATGTGCATTTCGGCTTCGGTGATTGGTTTGGGCTGTGGTTTGTCAGGCTCTGGCGTAATAGCCGTGAGGCGCCTGACTGGCACGGGATGCAGGTGGCCCCGCTGCGGGTAGCCCCGCAGGGTGACCACGTTCTCGATCGAGTTGCCGATTGGCATCTGGTGGAAGTCGAGAGTGAAGTGGCGCAGTGAAGTAGGAGAGAGCGTCTCGAGTTCGCGGGTTGCCCCGCTAGCTCGATCGCGGACTGGCTCCGCTCCTCGCAGAGCCGGCGCAACATGGTATTCCACCGTAGTAGTAGTCCACCAAGTTGTGCCGTGGATTACAGGAATCAGAGCGAGAGCCAGCCACACGAGAGTGTAGCCAGCTCCGCTACCAAGTCGAAAACACACTGGTAAGCTTAGGTATGTGTTACGCTTTAAGCGTTGCCATATCCCAGGCTTTGGCTCATATCGCATGAGCAAGAGAGCAAGACGAAGCATGGGATCTGGAGTAAAGGATAGGATGGGCATCGTCAATGGAAAAGGTATTTTCCGATCTCAGATGCAAGTCGTGCGCCTCGGTGAGGCACAATCACATATTAGGCCGGGCCCGGCTTGAGCCAGGCACGGCAGCGGTACATGCTCGATTTATACCTCGCCTTTAACCTTCTCCGTTTAAAGTCCCCTAGCTCCATATAGATTGCACCACTTAGCTTGCACCACATCTATTACATCGCATATGATGCACCGCTTAGAGTCCGCACCGCATAAATTGCGCCACGTAGCCTACACCACAAATGTTACACCATGTAGTACTACATCTCTGACACCACATAGACCGCACCACCGACCCCCCCCCCCTCACATAGCGGGGAAGGGATCAAAGGGAAGGGGCTTCTCTTCGACTTGATTACGACGCCGTTTGGTTTCTATATGGCTGGCATGCTTGAGGGAAAGCGGCGACGACGACGACTTACATTGAAACGCCTCTCACACACATCGAGAGGGTCGGCGGATTTGACAGGGATGAGGGTGGGGGGGCGATAAGAGTACTCCTTGGGATGGTCTGAATTCAGATGCTACATGAACGATGTGGCAGGATCACATGTAAACTGTACTATCCGAGGGGATAGCGATAAACCCGCGGGCGGGGTGGGGGTGGGGGGGGTGAGGATCGAGGGAGGGAGTCCCAGGGGTTGCGACCTCCCCAACACGCCACCCCAGGGGAAGCACCCCTCGCTGGGAGAAGTCTTGGGCTCCTGAGCATCAGTACTGTCGTCGTCATCGCCGTCGCCGTCGTTTTCGTCGTCCCCCTGCAGGGTCGGAGGCACAGGCCGTAAGGCCTTCGCAATCATAAGATGGTTGTTAAACGATTTCAGCAAATGCGCGCGGGCAGAACATCTAACATACTGGAACTGAATTGTCAAATCATAGTTGATGTTTGTACGTTACAGCGCTTGCACCACTAGCGTGCTTGGTCTTATTTCGGCATGTCCGTTCGGGTGGGTTGAATCTGCGCATAGTTTTCTGCACGAGGTTCTTGAAAACGAGAAACGAGTGCGCGCGCATGGTTTTTTTGACAGGGAGGGGGGTGGTGGGGGGGGAGGCGGCGATGCCCCGTCGCCTGGGATGGTGCGAGCCCGTATGGAAACTGCAACGACGTGCGCAATGTCCCAGTGGGTCGGGTTACGTCTGGGCTTGGAAAGGGGGGGGGTCCATGTTTGCTTCTGGAAGGAATTTCAATGTGGTGCAATTGACTTTTACCCATGATTTGACACATCCACCGCTCTTGCAAACATCCCACCCACCCACCCGCAACTTGGCTTGCAAAACCTCTTAAGACCGATTACGACGACACCGACGACAACGACTACGACGACACCGGCGACGTCTCCGACAACTTCGACCACGACGACAACGACGACGACGACGACGCCGACGTCGACGACGACGACGCCGACGCCGACGCCGACGACGAAGACGACGACGTCGCCAACGAAGACGACGACGAGGGAGGAGGGTAACGACGACGGCGACAGCGACGACAACGACGACAACGACAAGGGAGGAGGGAGGACGGCGACGACGCGAACGACGAAGAAGGAGGAAGGACTGCGACGCCGACGACGACAACGACGAGGGAGGAGGGAAGACGACGACGACAACGACGACGACGACGACGGCGACGAAATAGGAGGGACGACGACGAGACGCCGACGACGGACGAAGACGACGACGAGGGAGGAGGAGGAAGGACGACCACGGCGAAAACGACGACTGAAACGACCACGACGCCAAAGAAGACGACGACGACGAACACGAGGAAAGACAGAGGACGACGGAGGCGACGACGACGACGACGACGACGACGACGACGGCGACGCGGAAGGAGGGAGGACGGCGACCACGACGAAGACAACGACGACGCAAGAGCGCGCGCGCACGCTTTTGTTGAAAATCCGTGTTGCGAAACCTGATGTTTTTGTTGGTTTTTTGGACACACGATTTTGAAATCCTTCCGCAACCAATGGGTGTTGAAGGGTTTCGGCATACGCGCGACGACGCGCGCGTCTGCACTTCGTCCCATTTGTTGCAGAGGATTCTCGCGACGGCACACGCGCAAGGGCGTTCGACAGATTTCGACATGCGCGCGCGCGAAGCCCGTTTGGTAGCATTTTGTGAAAATCTTGAAAAACCTATGGTTTTCTTAAGATTTCGCAAGAGCTCGCGCGTAAGCTTTTTTAGCAAATCAGTGTTGCGAAACCCTGTGTTTTTATATGTTTTTTGGAAACTCGATTGCGAAATCCTTCCGACACACCGAAGGTTTTTGAAGGATTTCGGCATGCGCGCGCGACGACGCGCGCGTGTGCACTTCGTCCCATTTTTTGCAAGGGATTCGTGACAAAGTGTTATGTTAGAACCAACAAATGTTCCCGCGCATTTTTTTTTACAAAGGAACCTCAGGGAGAGCGATACCGGCCCCCGGGGATGGTGCAAATTCATATTCAGGATGGACATGCGGTCATAATCATATATGGTTTACATACCCGACAGGGGGGGCCGATAACGCCGGGGGGGTAGAGTCCTTTTTAGAAAGGATAATCCATAAATTTATATATATGCCTTTTGCGCTATGCTGTGTGAGCTGGAGGCGGAAACTGTGCGGTGCAAGGTGTGTGTTGTAAGCCATGTCGTAAATCCGGATGCTACGCAAGCTCAACGCACGGGGCGCCAGCGAGGCGTCCACGAGGCGGCACAGTGGAGCACCCCCACGGGGAACGGCACCTAACGCGCGGGGCGCTCACGAGGCGCCCGCCCACGAGCAGGCACGGGCGGCACGGCGGCGCAACCTCGGCATCATACCCCTCAAGCGCGGGGCGCCCACGCGGCGCCCACGAAGCGGCACGGGTGGCAGCGCGGCGAGCATCCAGAATATCAAACCAAGTAAGAGCCTCTAGCTGCAAGCAGCGTTACGGGAACTATGTTTCAATTCTGCTAGCTAGCGCGGAACCCAAACAGTGCGCTATGGCACTGTAGAGGTGAGAGTTATGCAGTGTAAGCTTTGTGGTGAACGCTGGGTGGTGTCGCGGAAACGAAACTATTCGGCGTGAGCATGTTGTGCACGCTGTGTCGTGTCAACTAGGTGGTGTGAACTGAAGGTGAAGGCTATGTGGTGTAACCTATGTGGTGCGAGCTATGGTGTATCTACGTGGTTTAAGCAACGTGGTTTGATCTGCGTGGTGAAAGCTATGACGCGTAAGCCCAGGGCACGAGGGGTCCAACGTGGAGCAGCCTCGGCATACCCTCAAAGCGCGGAGCGCCAACGAGATTTCCACGAGGCGGCATGGGCGGCAACGCGGCGCAACCTCAGCAGATCCCCCCAGCGCACGGGCGCCCACGAGGCGGCACGGGCGGCAGCGTGGCACAATCTTGACATACCCTGCAAGCGCGGAGTGCCCGCGAGGCGGCACGCATGGCAACGTGGCGAACACCTGGAATACGAGCCAACGACCTCAGCGGCAAGACGCCAAAACCACGCGTCTCCAAGGCCAGAAAACAGCAGTTCCGCAATGCCCCCAACACTCTCAACTAAACTATTGGACCACCAGTCGACTAGTGCACTGCATAAACACTTACCTACCGCTCTACTGCATGTGCTGTGACTGAGTATCCTGGCAGAGGCTCACAGCTGCCAACGTCGTGACTTGCACACAACGCGAGAGGGCGTGCAGGCGCGGCGCACGGAGCTTCGACGGGCGGCGGCGGCGGCGGCAGCGGCCAGCGGTGGCGGGGCGCGGGGCGCCCACCCGCAGCGCAAGGCGGAGGCGGCCGAGGGCCGCCGCGCAGGGTTCACCTGCAGGCAGGAGGTCACGAGCGCTCGGACGTCGGCCGGCAGGCCTCTGCGCGGAGCGGCGGCGGCGACGACTCCGCCGAGGACGACGCCGACGACGACAGACCTGACGACTACAACGCTGAGGCTGAAGCCGGCGTCGCCCTGGGAAGTTTCAAGCGTTGCTGGGGGTTCTCGACACCACGGCTGGACGCGGCTCGAGAAACTGGCCATGACGGACCTCGGGGGGGTCCACGGACTGGTGTTGAGGAGATGTTGGTCGGACGACGTCTGCGGCTACCAGCCGTTCCGCCAAATCCCCCTCCCTCCACTCCTCCTCGTCCTCGTCCTCGTCCTCGTCCTCGTCCTCCTCCTCCTCCTCGTCCTCGTCCTCGTCCTCGTCCTCGTCCTCGTCCTCGTCCTCCTCCTCCTCCTCCTCCTCCTCCTCCTCCTCCTCCTCCTCCTCCTCCTCCCCCAAAGCCGCCTCGCCAGCATGGGCTCTCGGTGCAATAGCCGCCCTGCGCCACAAGGCTCATCACGGCGTGCTCCTGGTGCCCAGGCGGGTGCCGGTGGCGTCGCTCCCAAACCTCGCTCGCCAAAGAACGCTGCAGCTGCGTGTTCCACCTCTTACCGCGCTCCTACGGTTCCGCCGGCCCAGCATCTCCTCGTGCCCATTCGCTGCCGTCACATTCAACTCCTACTCCTGGTCATCTCGTCGTTCCGTCCTTGCGGCCGCTCCCGCTAATTCGCCTCTCGTCATCCCTCTCATTGTGGTGTGTGTCCCCCCTGCTCTCGACATTCTTCTTCGGGGCTTTCCCCTGGTCCAACGCCACACGCGAAAACGGGACTCTTCGCACCCGTCGCGCGGGCATTCTCTGGATGGAATGCACACAACCGGAAGCGGATGGCCCAGTCGGCAGCAGCCGTGCGCAAGCACAGCGTACGCCTGCACAACGAAATCCCCACGCTCGCGTGGAGATCGGGTTCTATACCCGAGCCATCGCCTGGAGCTGAGTCCGTCCTGTCATGGTCCGACCGTCCCGCGGCAGCAAAAGCAAAAGCCACGGAGAGCAGTGGCAATCAAGCTCTTCCCCGATAGCACTCGTCTACTTGCGTGCAGAAGACATGCGGATAGGTGGCTGTGTCCGTGGGCGAATCGAAAACTGCGGTGGAGAAGAAAAGGTTGCTCTCCGCTCACGTGGCCGCACCTGCTCACTGTGCACGCTCGTGCCGAAACAGCGAAGGGCCGAGCACGATGCGGAGTGTCCTTCCCTCGGAGTCGGAGCTGAAATCGCGCTCTCCCAGTGCCGCTGGTAGACGCGGCGGGGGGCAAATCTCAAAAATGTCACCAGAGAAAAGCCCTAATCAGTGGATGGTTTTCGCTGAGGAGATCGACCTGGGACCCGGGAGCCCAGGAGCCCAGAACCCACCGATATCGGCTCGGAACCCATAACCGGGAACCCGGGAACCCGGAACCGGGAACCCGGGAACCCAGCCTGCTACCAAAATCGGCGAATATTCCGCCAAATCTTTCAACATCCGCTAGGGCTTGGGGAATGAAGACCGGCGGCACACTAGTTGTGACATAGATGGCAACATCAAGGGAACAGGAAAACAGCACGGATGATGATGACGAGGAGGAGAGAGAAGGCGGATTATGAAGGCGAACCCGTGGGCAGAACAAGGAGAAGCTGTGGACTATGAAGGGATTGAGAAGGGCGGGGTGTGGTGGAAGGGAGGGTGAGATAAGGGGATGCTGGACGAGAAAAGGGACGAGGACGAGGAAAGGATGCGAAAGGAAGACCCCGGAACCAGTAACAAGATGAGCGATGGGACGGAGCGGGGTCGGCTGCTCGGGGCGATTCCAGGCACCCCCACACCGCCCCCAGCGAGGCGCAGCTGCTGGAGAGCATCCCGAGGCTGGAGGAACCCCCAGAAACAGACGGAAACGCCACACAGCCTCCAACCTGGAACCCCGAACCTTGAGGAGCCGATGCTTCGTAGCAGCGACGGGGCTCGACGCTCGGAACCTCACTCGGCTTTTCCGCCCCGACTTCCCCCCCGGCTCGGGGCACAGCCAGCCCTGGGCACAGAGGCGGTGCAACCCGCGCCGCTCGGGCTCGCCGAGGAGGGGGGGCGGGGGCCAGGAACCCCGACCTCCCAGAGTGCTAGAGCATTGCGCTCCATGGACCTGTCTAGACTGCTTAAGTAAGACCTCGACTGGCATTCGGGCATCTATAGGTGCAAAGGCAATACGTTTGAGCCGTGTGGACCGTCGCCCGAGTTCCCCCCCCCGGGCTTGGGGCGAGCGGCGGCGCGCCCGGGCGAGGTTGCTCTGCCCCTCGCGGAGGGCCGCCTGGAAGGGCCACGACCCGACGAGCAGCGTGTAGGTGACCTCGGCGGAAGGCTCGGCCGGGCGGCCTCCCCCCGGAAACAGGAACATGCACACCACAGGGCAGTTTTTAATACATAGTTTTTTTTTGAAATCTGATTTTTCATAAATGACCAATGTATGACTAAATCTATGCATGAACTCATCGTTGTTTTTACTGCTAAATCCCTGCATTTTTAATACATGATCCGCACGCGGAGCATGTATTAAAAACGGCACTGAACCAGTGGCGGGCCGCTTTTGAATCCCATGACTTTTTGAGGGTCGGGGACGACGTCCGGGCGGTGTGGTGTACATGTTTCCCCGTTGCCCCGGGGAAGCAACGAAACAAGTACACACCAGGATCCGGTATACACCAGAATCCACCTTCCTGTGCGAGTTTCAGTGCGGGGCCGAAAACAAGGTCGGTGTATAGAGCTCGGTTCCCCATTTCCTCCTGCAAATCTACCAGAACGATGGTGGTGAGGATTGAGCTCTGTTTTCAAGTATAAACAGTCGGCGCGGAAATTGCAAATCTCTGTGTCACACCGCCAGACGGCGGCTAAGTACAAATACTTGGGCCAAGACAGCAATGGTTGCACAGTAACCTGGGGTTTTCGTCCCCCACTTCGACCTGATGGTCCAGGTCGGGTCAGTCAGGTGCAACCACATGTAACTTTGCACATATCCGGTGGAAGCTGGAGTTCACTCGACAGCGCAAACGCGGTGACATTCTTATTGTGTTAGCGAGTTGGCAATGCAAAATTAAGATTTGCACCCAGCATGGTTAGCACTGTTCTGACTGAGTACGCACGCATGGAGAATCCAGCGCGCCGGCATAGAATATGACTTGCATTACGGCGGGACCCCCGCTCTATATTTGTTTGCGACAACCGCTTAAAATGTCAGATTCGCCTGAAACTCTCCATAGTGACTCGCGCGACAGACCTTGGAGTAAGAAGAGGCAGGGTCTGAATCGCTTGGCGACCCATCGCTGCTCACCATGTGCGTCCGGGGCGCGAAAATTTCGACCTCGGGGACTTGCCTTGTGTTCCATAACAGCTCCTACAGCTCCTGAACTCAAAGACCTCCAGAATTAGCTCAAAAGTATAAAAAAAACATAGTTTGTGATATTTTTATAAAATTACCATAAAAATAGAGAATCCGCGCTCGAAAATTAGGATTTTCATTTTTAGGTAGGAGAGCGATCCCGAACAAATACAACGGTGGGCCCAGCGATGCTCGCGAGCGCGAAGAGCATCGGCACTCAAACGCTTAGCTACGTTGCCCGTCGGAGCAACTGAGCAAATCAGCAACTGAGCAACTGAGCAACCTAGCAACTTGGCAGCTTAGCTCCAGAGCAACTGAGCAACCTAGCAACTGCGCGCTGGGGGGCCCTGCGCGTGATGGTACTCGTCAGGGCTGTTTGCAGGCGGGGGGGGGGCGCGCGGTTCCGTGGCCATAATGGATTCGCTGCGTTCGGGACGGTGGGGGCTATCAGCATGGAGTAGACCCAACGTGAGCAGCCCGCTAGCGTTGCCGCATTTTCGATCGTCATTTCGCCACGCATGCTGTTTCAAATAGGCAGGGCGGCAGCGATTCGCCGAAGGTGTCTTCGATGATAACCACGACATCGCTCCGCCAGCATCACAAGGAGCTCGCTTGATAGTACCGCGTGCGAGTGAGAGAAGAGTCGGGCCGCGGAGGCAGGGGGAGAGGCAGGAAAGGAGGGGGGGAGGACGGGGAGGAAGAAACAGAGAGGGATAATGAATCAGGCAGAGGAGACAAAACAAGGACCACGAATGGCTGAGGGCGGGCAAAGGGAAGATGACGAACAACTCGAGGGGGGGGGGGGCGGGACCGCCCGCTCGCGCGCAGCGGGACAAGCCCGCTGCGCGCGAGTCCACCGCGCGAAGTCCTCTTCGAAAAAATGCTGCAGGAAGCTCGAAGCCCGCCGCCCCCAGAGCCCATGACTGCGCCTGGCCGCGCCTCCAGGCGGAGGATGAAGAGGGGCAAGAAAGGAGGAATCTGGGATGGAGGGTTTGCAGTGGAAGAAGTGGAAGAGCTGGGAGAGGATGTGCGGGGGGGGACAGAATGGACGAGGACGCGGAGTTGGGAGGGCGAAGGTTGGTTGACCTTGGCGCCTGCTCGGCGATTCGCCTGACTATCGTGCGTCTTCGTCGCGCCCATCGTCACCCTCATTTTCGAAGAGGCGAGACAGTTGAGCATTTGGCAGCACCCCAGGAAGGGGATCAGCAAATGTCGGGCGAAAACGCGGCAACGCTAGTGGTCTGCTCACATTGATCGTTTCCTGCACTAGTGGGTGGTTGCGTCGGATGTGGATTCACTAAGGGGAGGGGGGACAGTTGGATGAGGAAGAGGGTCCAAGTAGGATGGACAATGTCAACTTCGCAACTGTCGCAACTCTCATTAGCTCCGAAAGCTCCAGCGGCGCAGCTGAGCAACTCAGCAACTGAGCAACTGATCAAACTAGCAACTGGGCAGCTTAGCAACAGAGCAACTGAGCAACCTAGCAACTTGGCAACTTAGCAACAGAGCAACTTTCGTGAACTCCTGGGGTGTCCAGTTTTAGTGCGGGGCTACGCTGTTCTACTTAACCACACTGGCTTTTCCAAAGGGCAGGGGTGGCGGTGATTCGCCGAAGGCGTCTTCGATAAAAAAAACCTTCGCATATCAAATCCCATCTCACACGATGGTCAACTCATGTCTCGTGCCATCCTCGGGGTTCCGATTCGCACCAGTCTCATATTGTTTTTTTCTCGGCGAGGCCAGGCGGTTCGCCTCGAGGGCGGTCGGACGGCCAGGCCAGCCGTCTCGCCTCGATCACTTGGACGTGATCACCTGGAAGGCGCGATTGAACATCGTCAAGTGGAGCGCCGCCTTCTCCTGGAGGCCGTAGCTGCGCAGCTTCTTGATGGCCGTCTGGACCTCCGTGCGCAGGACTGGCTTATCCATATCACCTGTAATCGCTTCGATGATCGCCTGCTCCGTCTTGACGACCACAAGCGCCTGAATGAAGACCATAGCATGCCTCATCTCGACTGTGTCGGGGTTCGCGTCGCCAGCGTCCTGGAGGGCCGTCTTGTAGTCCTCGTGCTTCTTCTTGCACTCGTCTGCGAGGTCGTGCGCATTGCCAAGGTCCACATCCTTCAACTTCGCCTCGTAGACTGTCACGAGCTCCGACCACGGGACACCCTTCGCAGGCCTCCACGACTCGGTCACGCCGCCGTCGGCACCGTGCGTGTACGTCTTCTTCAGGGCCTCACGCACTGCCGTGACGCTCTCTTGCAAGGCGGCCTTGGCCTTCGCCACGGCCCTGGCGTGCACCGCCTTGTCGGCAGTGTGTGTGGCGTCCTTGACCGCGCTGGCCATCTGCACCACCTTGCCGACTGTCGCCTCCGACAAGTGCTTCTTGAGATCGCTGATCTCTGGCATCATGGCGTGCTCTGTTTCCTTCAGAGTGCAGAGGGCACGGCGCATCCTTGCCGTCGTCTCTTTCTGCTGCTCGACAGTGACCTCGTGGCTGCCGTCCTCAGTCGCTTGGATCGACTGCACGCTGAGGCTGCAGGTGGCCGAGGCCCGCACGGCGTCGAATAGGCGGCGGATCTCTGGGCAGCCCTTCGTGGGGATGGCATCGCACAGCTTCAGCCCACAATCAATGAGCACCGAGTCGATCTGGGCCGAACCGTCGGGTGAGATCCAGTCCAGGAGCGTCTTGCAGCACTTCACAAGCAAATCCATCCCGACCTTATCGACCAGCTCGTGGCGCTGGACGCTCCCTGCGAACTTCACCGCGGCGTTGGCAGCCGTCCTCCGCTCGTCCTCGTCATTCTCGGTTGCCTTCCCGCTCAGCTCCTCCAGCGCACGTTTGAAGTTGTCGACGCGGGCGGCCGCGTTCAGCTGTGCAACTCGGGACCCGACCTGCGACTGCGACTCAGCCATGGCGGCAGACATGGGAAACGCAATCACGGACGCAGCGAGCAGCTTCTGGAGTGAGTCCAAAAGCGTTGTGTCCGTCAGCGCACCTTCTGCATCAAGAAGCTCCTTCACGAGGGCCGTCACCTTGTCGGAAAGCTTGGTGGATACCTTGCTGAGGCAATCTTGTGGAATGACGGCCTGCATGTCAACCATGGCCTCGCAGTACGACTGCAACTTCTGCGCGAGGCCCTTGCGATCTTCTGGGGCGGACGGGCTGTCGGACATCAGCTGATCCATATCTTTCAGAATGTCGTCCTTCTCGATCAGCATGGGAACCGCGTCCTTGTAGGTCTTCAAACGGTTCTTCCAAAACTCGGTTGTGTCCACGGCGTGGAGGATCCGCACCTGGACACAGTCTGACGACTTCGTCATGTGCATGATCAAATCTTGAACGTCTTCATGTCCATCAGCGGTCGGCAGGAAGTCAATCAACGTGACGATGGCCCTCATGGTGGTGAGAACCTGTTGCTGGCGTAAACATACGACACTTACTTGGCACACTGGAATCTCAGGTGAACCTCATCTTGGATCTCTCCTCCTCCCTCCTCCTCCTCCGGCCTCCTCCTCCTCCTCCTCCCTCCTTCTCCTCCTTCTCCTCCCTCCTCCTCCTCCTCCCCTCCTTCCGCCCCGTCCTCCTCCTCATCACCCCCCCCTCCCCCCTCCCCCGAGAGAGGGGGGCAGGGGAGGAGGAGGAGGGAGGGAGGAGGAGGGAGCCAAAACTGTTTAGGGGGCCGTAGGAACATCCTGGATGAAGGAAGCGGCGTCCCTGGGCAGCTCCCAAATGTCCTCGTCCTTGAACACTTTCACGGCGGCCAGAGCGTAAGCCTTGAGGGTCGCCAGCTTCGAAATCCCGTCGAATATCCAAGGGCGCACATGCTCGGAGTAGACCACCTTGACGAAGTGTCTCAGCAAAGACCTCAAGCTGTCGCCAATCGCCTCCTCAGTTCCGCTTGCCACACAAGCCATGCCGAAGCTCGGGTTGATGAGGTCGAGCTTCTGTCCCTCTGGTGGCGCCCAGCACCGAAAGACCTTCAAATGACCTTCCCAATCTGCAGCATCAGATAGTGTAGATTGCCTCAAATCAGCTATGCTGAAGATGATGCTCTTAGGCCATACCAGCTCAGCCTCGTCTTCGAACTCTTGGATGGTATCGGACAGCTCGGGCCAAGATTTCCCTCTCACAAACGTCGGGTTGCGCAACTCGCAGGCCGTATCGAGCTTCGAGATGTACTTGAGACGGAGCTTGGTTTCGATCTTGGTCGTCTCCTTCGTCAGGTCGTCCTGCGCCTTAGCCTTCAGAGGCGTCAAGCTCCGTCGGTCCTTGATGCCGTCGAGGAAGAGCTGGACGGGGTACTTCGACTTGATGCTGCCGACCGTTGCTCCTTGGGAGAGTAAACGAGACGATGGAAGTCGACTCATGTTGTTGTTGATGCTCATTGTGCGACGAACGATGCGACGGACGACGGACGACTGACGATCGACACATCGCGATCGTCGACGAACCACGAATGACGAACGACGAAGAACGACATACGACGACGAACGGAGTTCCCAGGAGTCCGGGCTCCAAGGAGCATCAACAGCACGATCCCCAGCTCTCACATGATATTGGAGCTGTTGCTGCTGCTGGGATGTATGGCCATGAGTAGCATGGCCATGAGTGTCAGCAGCAGTACCAGCTCCAATGTCATCGTCGTCACCACGGGGGCGGGATTTGGAACCAGTAGGTCCGTCGTCGTCGCCGAAGGCGCTCGCGGAGCCCAAGCTCTCACGAGTGTTATCGCGACCTCCACCTGCCGCGCTAGCTGCAGGGCGAGAAGCCATCGAAACTCTCGACGAGGTGTCGTCGAAGTCCCTGGGGCAATCCTTCCGCGGGTCGGAGGAGGCGCCTCTCGAAAGCCGCTGCCTCTTGCCCGCTGGCGGTGAGGGTAGAGGTGTCTGGGCACGACTCTCCGCGGCAACGCCCTCAAGCTCTGGGCCATCATCTTCTTGCTCCTCAGCAGCCTCGTCGCCGCCGCCCGCCTTGTCGTCCTTAGCTCTCTTGAGGGTCTTCTCTCTGAACATAGTAAATGGGGTGAGGCCCTTTACGAGTGCTGCGGCTGCGCCGCTCTCGGACAATGCCACCGCACTCGCGTGGGCGAACGCCTCCGTAGCGTGGCTGTCGTAGAGCAAGGCGCGCGCAGTCAGGAAGGTGCTAGCAAGCGTTACCAACTGCGACTGGCTGATCTTTACCTTGCGGAAATGCTTAGTCTCGGGATCAGGCAGAAAGAGGTACAGCGTATCTTCCTCGTTGGCGTCCCGCATCGAGGGGTGCGCGATCTTCAGCTGCGCCTTCAACATTGGCTTGGACAACCGAGCGACTCCGCAACTGGCACGCATCTCGCTCTCCGTCCACGCGTCGAACTTGTAGTAAACCTCCACAGCGCTCTGCGTGCCCGTGCTCACGTTCTTGTCGCCGAACTGGAAGGTCGGGTTCTCGAAGGAGTCATCCTGGAGCTCCCTCTGTGTCTTGCGAGCCTGCTCGGTCTTCTTCCTGCAGTCGCCGCCCTTGTGATAGTCCTTCACGAACAGCTCCCACGTGTCGTGCATCAGCACGCGCACGCCGAGGAGGTAGCACTCCTCGCACGCGTCGCCGATGGGGGTCACCACGGGCACGCCAGCGCCTGAGGTAGATTTCTCAGTCATTGCCCACTTCACATCCTGTAATAGAAAAGGACAAGGATAAGAGAAGTGACGATGAGGGACGAGGATATTGGAGGATTTGAGGAGGTTAAGAGGAGGGACAGTCCTTGAGGTTCGACGCCCGCTCGCAGCATGCACACGTGCACGTCGATTGGCCCGCTGTTTTTCTCTGTCTTTTCACTGGAGACAACTCTGGCCCACCTAGAGCGGGTCTGCCGCCGCCACGACCCCTCGCGCCACTCGAAGCTGCTCCTGCTGCGCGGCCCTTCTGCTCCTTCTTACCCGCCATGGCGAACACTGCAAGCGGAAGGATGGATCCAAGGTATTCGAATCAAACTGGCCTCGCGAGTACCGCTAGCGCAACTGACTCTGGCCAAAATGGCCTCGACGAGGTGGGGGTGGACACTGGTATGTACACGCGCACCGTGCCAGCCCACCAGCCCCAAGAGGCCCCAAATCGTTGATGTTCATTCTGCTTTTCCCAAGGCCCCAAACCGCTGAGGCTTCCCAAGAAGGCCCCAAGAGGCACAAATCGTCGATGCTTCCCAAGAGCCCAAGAGGTCATACATCGCTGATGCTTCCAAAGGCCCCAAGAGGCCCAAACCGTTGATATTCATTGTTTTTTTCATGTGTTCTCGCGTTTGCTCGTTATGTTTTTCCATTGTGCTTTCCCAGCGCATAAACAAAACAAGCGCCGATGGCTTTTAAGCTTGCAGGTGTTTTTTCAAGGGTTGGGGGCCGAAACAAGAAAATATGTTTCAACCACCGAAAAAAACAGCTCACGAGAGACCCCAAGGAGGGGTCCTATGGGGGGAACACGAACTGTGCACCAGGAAGCCCCCAGGAGGCGTGAGGAAGCCTCCAAGAGAGCCCAATATGCCCCCAGTGGCCCAAGAGGCCCCACGAAGCCCCCAATAGACCTAAAAAGAAACCCCAAGGAGCCCCCGAACGGCCCCAAGAGGTGTCAGAACTGCCTCCAAGAGGCCACCGAGATGCCTCCCAAGATATCCACACAAACCTCCAAGAGACCTCTAACCCAGAACCCAGGCACAGTGGCGGGATTGGCCGATGGCCACTAGATAATTACACGAACAAGATGCGAACCATGGCTGGCATTCAGCACCGCATAGATTGCACCCAGTTGTCGTCGTCGTCATCGTTGTCTTCGTATTCGTCAGCAACCTGTCTTCCGTCGTCGTCGTCGTATTCATCTGCCGTCGTCGTCGTCGTCGTCTTCATCGTCATGTCGTCGTCGTCGTCGTCATCGTCATCGTCGTCGTCGTCATGTCGTCGTCGTCGTCATGTCGTCATCGTCATCGTCGTCGACTTCGTCCGCGTCGTCGTTTTCGTCGTCGTCATCGTCGTCGTGTCATCGTCGCAGACTGACGCATCGAGAGTTTTTGTTTGTTTTGTTTTTTGCTTGTTCAATCGGCTCAGGGCTGCGAGAGTTGCTCGTGGCTCGCTGCCGCTAGCATATGGGGCAACGCTTGTGGCTGCTGACATGGAGGCCACGCTTGTGGCTGCTGACATGGATGAAGTCGCCCACGTGGACGGCGTAGAATGCGTAGACGTGGAAGTCGTAGACTGCTAACATGGAAGAAGTCGCATGGCTAAAGGGAAACTTCCTGGCTATCGGGCGGCAGGGTGCCTGGCTCAAGGGTATCCGCTGGCGGCAAGGTATCTGGCTGAAAGGCATCTCCTGGCGGCAGGGTACTTGGCTGAAGGGCATCCGCTCGCTGCTGCTCTCCGATAGGCCCTCGCTGCAAGACAAACCCGTTCCATTTGGGACGTGGCGACCTTATAATTGAATTGGCGTTCGAAAGTTGAGGCACTGGAAACCCTTGGCCGTCGTCGCCCAATGAGTCCTCCACAACGGTGGCAGCTTCAGCAGCAACATGACCCTGGAATGCTGCTTGACTCTCGACGGGCAAGAGTGGAGTGGTGGCAGGCACAGGAGCGGTGTCAAGACCAAACTGACTGCCCGTGGCGGATGGAACAGGATGGAAGCCCGCCGGCGCGTTCTCGACCTGGGCTGACTCATGGTGGAGGCCCACCGCCTTCGGCGCGTTCTCGACCTGCTGCGGCTGACCCCACGCCACAGAGTGGGAGTTCACCGTCGGCTCGCTCGGCGCGCCCTTCGTCTCCTGCTCGACCACGTAAGGAACGCCCACGACCTCCACATCACTCGATGACTCGCCGTCCTTGCCCTTCGTCTTGAGCTTCTTCGCCGCTGGCCCTACTGGTGCATCGGCCTCGCCTCCCGAACTTGCGGCCTGGCCTCCCGATCCTGCCTCCTCGGGAGCTGGCGGCGCTCGCACAGGTCCGCTAGCTGCAGAGCTCTTTGTCACAAGCTCAATCTCGGCTGGCACACTGAAGTTCAGTGTGCCCTGCAAGTGTTCGGGCAGATCTTCGCACAGCAACTGCAGGCGCAGGGTGTGGCCCTTGACTTTGTGCAAGCGTGGGGGCGGCGTGCTTGCGCCATGTTCAGGAAGAGACATCGAAGCCGACCGACTGCGTGTAAAATGATACCAAGAACACAAGTGCAATATACATATAGAAATCAAAGATGTCTAGCCGCCCAAACTGCTGTAAGCTCAAATTGCTGTGGGACAACAATATTCTGAGTTGGACTGAGAGATTGCTGAGCTGGAATGAGCTGGACTGTCAGGCATACGAGAGTCTCAGCTAAGCCAAGCTGCGCTCCTGACGGCCAGCTGGACAGCCAATCGCTGAGCTGGATAGTCTAAGCTAGGCAATATCGGCAGCTA